TCAGTACCCCCCCTGGGAGCTGGCTGCCCCAGGGGTGCTCTCAAGCAGGCCATACATGGGTCGAATTCTGAATGATTTTTCGATCGAAAATCTAAAACATTGTTCATTCTCTAATCCGATGATGCCATCAATGATTTCAAAAATCGGTTGTTTGGCACGAATTTTCCAGCATGCCCAATAAACGAAATAGGGAGGAACCATGAAAATCGGCTGGTGCCATTGTCCCACTAACAGAGCGAAAAATTGGCCGATTAGTCTTAGGTCTGATTTTCGAATGAAAAATCGTTCGAAAATTGATTCATGTATGGCTGGCCTTAGTACGGCTATGGGCCTAGGAAACCCACTGTGAGAGCAAGCACATGGCCACGGCACTTCTCGTTTTGTCACACTTGGGCTAGGCCCTTTGGTCAAGATCGGGGCAATTTTTGTTACCAGGCCACAAGGTCTATACATGGCACATGCACTGGCACTTATTTATTCTTCACGTGTGTGGTAAGTCCCATACATATGGGCCAAATATTATCCGAAATCAGCCGGTACAGTATAACCCGTCTGACACTCAGCATGTGTGTACAGGTCCATGTCCAACACAAGCCAATCTCACAACCAGCTTCTGTCAAACAAGCATGCTAGAAAACCAGCAGCTGATCGCCATCATGATAAATGCCATGGTGCTGCACATGTGACACGTGTGCTATACATCATGACTCCAGCCATCTGATGGATTGACAGTTTGGTTGGAAGCACAAGCAAATGTGACAGTTGGCATTCCCAGCATGCGGGAAATGTGACTAGTCTTGATGGGTTTAGTCCCACTTTAAGGCTAGGCTCACACCTGTGTTTTGCGTTTTTGCACAGCAGCTGGCCGTCTCATCCTTAAAGTCATACTAAAGTCTTATTTATTTATTTTTCTTAACGATAACAAACATGTCTCGCCACACCTGGGGGCAGAGCATGTTGGGACTTGTAGTCCCTACACTCCAGGGGACAGAGCATGCTGGGACTTGTAGTCCCTTCACACCTTGGAACAGAGCAGGCTGGGACTGACAGTTCCTTCACATCTGGGGGCAGAGCATGCTGGGACTTGTAGTCCCTCCACACCTGGGAACAGAGCATGCTGGGACTGATAGTTCCTTCACATCTGCTGGCAGAGCAAGCTGGGACTGAAAGTTCCTTCACATCTGAGGGCAGAGCATGCTGGGACTGATAGTTCCTTCACATCTGGGGGCAGAGCAAGCTGGGACTGATAGTTCCTTCACACCTGGGGGCAGAGCAAGCTGGGACTGATAGTTCCTTCACACCTGGGGGCAGAGCAAGCTGGGACTGATAGTTCCTTCACATCTGGGGGCAGAGCAAGCTGGGACTGATTGTTCCTTCACATCTGGGGACAGAGCATGCTGGGATTGATAGTTCCTTAACATCTGGGGGCAGAGCAAGCTGGGACTGATAGTTCTTTCACATCTGGGGGCAGAGCAAGCTGGGGCTGATAGTTCCTTCACATATGGGGGCAGAGCAAGTTGGGACTGATAGTTCCTTCACATCTGGGGGCAGAGCATGCTGGGACTTGCAGTCCCTCCACACCTGGTGACAGAGCATGCTGGGACTGATAGTTCCTTCACACCTGGTGGCAGAGCATGCTGGGACTTGTAGTCCCTCCACACCTGGTGACAGAGCATGCTGGGACTGATAGTTCCTTTACATCTGGGGGCAGAGCATGCTGGGACTTGTAGTCCCTCTACACCTGGGAACAGAGCATGCTGGGACTGATAGTTTCTTCACATCTGGGGGCAGAGCATACTGGGACTTGTAGTTCCTCCACACCTGGGAACAGAGCATGCTGGGACTTGTAGTCCCTTCACACCTTGGAACAGAGCAGGCTGTGACTGACAGTTCCTTCACATTTGGGGGCAGAGCATGCTGGGACTTGTAGTCCCTCCACACCTGGGAACAGAGCATGCTGGGACTGATAGTTCCTTCACATCTGGGGGCAGAGCATGCTGGGACATGTAGTCCCTCCACACCTGGTGACAGAGCATGCTGGGACTGATAGTTCCTTCACATCTGGGGGCAGAGCATGCTGGGACTTGTAGTCCCTCCACACCTGGGAACAGAGCATGCTGGGACTGATAGTTCCTTCACATCTGGGGGCAGCACATGCTGGGACTGGTAGTTCCTTTACATCTGAGGGCAGAGCATGCTGGGACATGTAGTCCTTCACATCTGGGGACAGAGCATGCTGGGACTGATAGTTCCTTCACATCTGAGGGCAGAACATACTGGGACTTGTAGTTCCTTCACACCTGGGAATAGAGTATGCTGGGACTGACAGTTCCTTCACATCTGAGGGCAGAGCATGCTGGGACTTGTAGCTCCTTCACACCTGGGGACAGCGCAAGCTGGGACGGGTAGTTCCTTTACATCGGAGGGCAGCGCATGCTGGGACATGTAGTCCTTCACACCTGAAGAGGGCATGCTGGGGCTTGTAGTCCCTCCACACCTGGAGACAGAGCATGCTGGGACTGATAGTTCCTTCACATCTGGGGGCAGAGCATACTGGGACTTGTAGTTCCTCCACACCTGGGAACAGAGCATGCTGGGGCTTGTAGTCCCTTCACACCTTGGAACAGAGCAGGCTGGGACTGACAGCTCCTTCACATCTGGGGGCAGAGCATGCTGGGACTTGTAGTCCCTCTACACCTGGGAACACAGCATGCTGGGACTGATAGTTCCTTCACATCTGGGGGCAGAGCATGCTGGGACATGTAGTCCTTCACATATGGGGACAGCACATGCTGGGACTGGTAGTTCCTTTACATCTGAGGGCAGAGCATGCTGGGACATGTAGTCCTTCACATCTGGGGACAGGGCATGCTGGGACTGATAGTTCCTTCACATCTGAAGGCAGAACATACTGGGACTTGTAGTTCCTTCACACCTGGGAACAGAGTATGCTGTAGTCCCTTTGCAACGGAACCGACCCAGACTGCGCTAGAGTACTTCCGTTAGAATATGCTTCCCCGTCCGAACACCGACAACAGACACCCCAGCCGACCACACAAGACTAGAGGACACCAGTCTGTCTGAACATGGAACTCTTTATTGTAAACTCAAACTGGCTTTTTATACAATACACACTGAGACTGATCACATGATCATATGCAAACGCAGCTTTATACAGAAATAGACCTAACACTCTAAACAGTAAGTGAATTAGGTTAGCTAGCTGGGTGACCGAAACAAAAGGTGAATGGGAATTCACACCTAGACAATGGGATGATGAATTAGGATCTTACTACAGAGCAGACGGTCCAGCTCCTACACTGGAGTAGATGAGAGGCCGGCGTGATCAGCTCTTTCAATTCACATGTCTAGTTCAGAATCAACAACCAGGAATAGTCTTCATGTGGCTGATAAATATTACTGCCCCATCTGAAGTAATTCCAACTGCAACCTCAGCGTCCATTAGTCACCCTGTGCCCCTGAGGTGACTTGCACATAAGAGGGATATGGGGAGCTGAGACAGGGGTCTCCCAACCTCTGCAAAGTGAGCTGGGTTCCATGGGCCCCCCACCCAAAGTGACTCCCGTCACACTCTTCACATCTCTTGGCAGAGCGTGCTGAGACTTGGAGTCCCTAAACACCTGGGGACAGAGAATGCTGGGACATGTAGTCCTTCACACCTGGAGACAAAGCATGCTGGGACTGATAGTTCCTTCACATCTGGGGCAGAGCATGCTAAGACATGTAGTCCCTTCACATCTGGGGGCAGAGCATGCTGGGACTGGTAGTTCCTTCACACCTGGGGGCAGAGCATGCTGGGACTGATAGTTCCTTCACATCTGGGGGCAGAGCATGCTGGGACATGTAGTCTTGTAGTTCCTTCACACCTGGGGGCAGATCATGCTGGGACTGGTAGTTCCTTCACATCGGGGGCAGAGCATGCTGGGATATGTAGTCCCTTCACATCTGGGGGCAGAGCATGCTGGGACTGATAGTTCCTTCACACCTGGGGGCAGAGCATGCTGGGACTGATAGTTCCTTCACATCTAACAGAGCATGCTGGAACATGTAGTCCCTTCACATCTGGGGGCAGAGCATGCTGGGACATGTAGTCCCTTCACATCTGGGGGCAGAGCATGCTGGGACTGGTAGTTCCTTCACACCTGGGGACAGAGAATGCTGGGACATGTAGTCCTTCACACCTGGGGACAAAGCATACTGGGACTGATAGTTCTTTCACATCTGGGGACAGAGCATGTTGGGACATGTAGTCCCCTTCACACCTAGGGGCAGAGCATGCTGGGACATGTAGTCTTTCACACCTGAAGAGGGCATGCTGGGACTTGTAGTCCCTTCCCATGGGTAGAGAGCATACTGGGACTTGTAGTTCCTTCACATCTGGGACAGAGCATGCTGGGACTTGTAGTCCCCTCCCAGATGTGCCCCCTGAACACCATGACATACACAATACAGGAGAATATTCTAAGCTATTCAAAATGTTATTTAGTAATAAAGTTTCTTCAAACGAAGCCAAAGTTAACCCAGACTACAAATCCCGAAAGCAGTAAGAGTGAAGAACAAGCGCTGCGCATGCTTACAATCTCGCCACCTTCACATACGGACCAATGACAAGCCAGGAAGAAGGAGAAGTGGGCGCGGCCTGAATCACGCCGTGTACAGACGGAGCTATCGGGCACGCGCAAGCTGGTAGGTCCCTGGCCACGCATGCGCATTCCTGCCCGGTCATCCTCGCCAGGGGGTGCGTACGCCGAAGTGACGTCAAAGCGCTAACCCGGAGGGGGAGCTCCGCGCCTGCGCAGTGCCGCACAGTGGAGAGCGGACTGGCTGACGGACGGATGCCGGGAGGGCCGGAGCCGCAGGTCCGCCCGAACCGGGCACCAGGGGCCGAGGGGGCGGCCGGGGAAGAAGAGGTGGTAACGGGGGGTTCCTCCCGTAGGAGGAAGGCAGAGTGTCCGCGGAGGAGGAGAAGCCGCCGGGAAATGCCTGGGGAGGAGGAGGAGCTAGGCCTTGGGGGAAGGCCCAGGTGAATGACGTTACGAAATGGGGGGCGTGGTCCGGGGGGCTGAAGCTGTGGTGGGCTGAGAGGAGGGTGGGCGTGCCATTGCTGACTGGGAAAGGGGGGAGAAAAAGTTGGAGTGGGCGTGGCAGCAAGTTTATTTACATAGTGGGCGTGGTTGAATTGATAATTAGTATGTAGGAGTGGCTATGAGTGTCAGTGTCAGCTGTGTCTTACTGCCTAGGAGATGAGGTGTGGCCTTCTTCCCATCCTGGCGCTGTGCTGACAGGGAGCACCTTGTTCCTGGGTCTGCCTTTCATTTATTTGTGAATCATCACCAACACCCCAGACATGGTCTGACCTGAGAGAAATACCTGGCCTGGCAGTGCTCAGCTCTCCTGAAAATGCTTGTTATCTGGCTGCTGTGCCCACTCTCCAGCTTTCAGCAACGCGGACCAAAAACAAGTATGCAGCAAGTGATGGCAGGGACCCCAATCTACCTGTTCTGGGTCAATGCCTCGTATTGAATCCACTGATGGACCCAACCCTGAGCCTCTGATGGATCCAACACCTATGCCTCTCTGATTGATCCACCTCCTGCGTCTCTGATGGATCCGCCACCCCCCGCCTCTCGGATGGATCCGCCACCCCCCCCCCGCCTCTCGGATGGATCCGCCACCCCCCCCGCCTCTCGGATGGATCCGCCACCCCCCCCCCCCCCGCCTCTCGGATGGATCCGCCACCCCCCCCCGCCTCTCGGATGGATCCGCCACCCCCCCCCCCGCCTCTCGGATGGATCCGCCACCCCACCCCCCCCGCCTCTCGGATGGATCCACCACCTTTTGCCTCTGATGGATCCACTAGCCCACGCCTCTGATGGATCCACTACCCCACGCCTCTGATGGATCCACTCCCCCACGCCTCTGATGGATCCACTACCCCACGCCTCTGATGGATCCACTACCCCACGCCTCTGATGGATCCACTACCCCATTCTCCTGAGGAATTCACCTCCCTTGCTTCTGATGTATCCACCATCCCACTCCCCTGAGGAATTCACCTCCCTTGCTTCTGATGGATCCACCACCCCACTCCCCTGGGGAATTCACCTCCCTTGCTTCTGATGGATCCACAACCCCACTCCCCTGAGGAATTCACCTCCCTTGCTTCTGATGGATCCACTGCCCTGAGGAATTCACCTCCCTTGCTTCTGATGGATCCACCACCCCACTGCCCTGAGGAATTCACCTCCCTTGCCTCTGATGGATCCACCACCTCTCGCCTCTGATGGACTGACCTTCCTTGCCTTTGATGGATTAAACCCATCCCCCTCCCCTGAGAGATCCATCTTTCTTGCCTCTGATGGATCCACCACCCTGCATCTCTGATGGACCGACCTTCCGTGCCTCTGAGGGATCTACCTCTCCACTCCCCCGAGGGATCCACCTCTCCACTCCCCCTGAGGGATCCACCTCTCCACTCCCCCGAGGGATCCACCTCCCATGCCTCTGAAGGATCCACCACCCCACTCCACTAAGGGATCCACCTCCCATGCCTCTGAAGGATCCACCACCCCACTCCACTAAGGGATCCACCTCCTGTGCCCTTGGTGGATCCACCTCCTGTGCCTCTGATCGATTCACCACCCCACTCCCTTGAGGGATCCACCTCCTTTGCCTTTGATGGATCTACCAGCTTGCCCCTCTGAAGGATTCACCACCTGTGCCTCCGTTGGATCCACTGCTTGTGTCTCTGATGGATCCACTGCTTGTGCCTTTGATGGATCCACCACTTTCGCACCTGATGGTTGCACTGCCCATGCCTCTGATGGATCCACCACCCGTGCCCTGATGGATCCACCACTTTCGCCCATGCCTCTGATGAATTCATTGCTTTTGTCTCTGATGGATCCACCTCCAGGATTCTGAGCACTTCAGGCATGTTGGAAGTCCATCTCCCCTGCTGTCTACTGTCAGAAGCTGTATCAGTGCTGTTTCACTGCAGAACTGTGGGTGGAATTGCAGCTGGGTACGCATGCATTTGACGTGCATGCTGAAGGTTTGGTAGCTGGTGTAGCTCAGCAGGAGTTCAGAGATGGAAGTCATTTCCTGATGAACAAATAAGTAATATTACTCCAGGACTATTGGCCTTCCCATTGGTCACTAGTGTGTCAGGTAGTGCGTGTCGGGGGGATATGCTACACTGCAACGTAGCTGAAACCCTCATTATTCCGCCTGAGAAGAGGTAAGTATTAGGGCTCATGCACACAGGTACAAAATATGCTGAGTTTAAGTAGCAAAGTCACATGTTTGATTGTATCTACAAGTGAGCTTATAATGTACCTTCTTTATCAGTGTCCACGGTCCTGCATAAGGACCATATTTAACACTGTACACATGGAAAACATTTTTACTACAGTGTTTATCATAAATGTATAGTATTATTCCTGAACTGCCCCCTGCAGCCTAGCAACCAAGAACAGTAGAAGGTAGGAGTGGCCTATATCCGAGCAACCAAGAACAGTAGGAGTAGCCTACATCCTAGCATCCAAGAACACTAGGCGGTATGAGTAGCTTACATCTTAGCAACCAAGGGCACTAGGAGGTGGGAGTGGCCTAAATCCTAGCAACCGAGTACACTAGGAGGTGGGAGTGGCCTATATCCTAGCAACCAAGGACACTAGGTGGGAGGGGCCTCAATCCTAGCAAACAAGGACACTAGGAGGGGCCTGCATCCTAGCAACCAAGAACACTAGGAGATTGGTGAGGCCTGCATCCTAGCAACAGGATACTAAGAGGTAGCAAGGGCCTGCATCCTAGCAACTGAGGATACTAGTAGGGGCCTGCATCCTAGCAACTAATTACACTAGGAGGTAGGAAGTGCTCATGTCCTAGCAACCAAGGATACTAGAAGGTAGGAGTCGTCTGTATCCTAGCAACCAAGGACACCAGGGCTAGGAGTGGCCTGCATCCTAGCAAATGGGGTACTCTGGTCTTGTTACATGTATAGTGTAAGTACAAGCTGCTAGCAAGATCCTACATAAAATCATACACCTGTGTACATGAGTCCTAATGCTAGCCCTCTCCACTTACAGGGTCCCTTTGCCTGGATTATTTTATACAATCTACAGGGTCCCATTAAAGCAACTAGTAGCTTCCTGAATGTTGTCCAAACTGCTTGGACGAAGCTTGCACCTGTTAAAGCGAACCTAGACCCATCGAAAGAATGCTTGCCCACCTGTTAGGATGCCATGTGTTAAACCTTCTGGATGTGTCCTAGAGATGTGCTCTTTACCTCCTTGGCATTGCCAGATTTGACAGGAGCGGTCAGGTGTGCAATATTCTATTATACATGACAGCAGTTTGGAAATTTAAAAAGGAATACAGCTAGAGATTTGGGAATTTATAAACGGAATATATTTGGTCCAGTTTGAAGAGTGGTAAGTGTTTGTACATTCAGCATAACAGCCAGGCACCTAGCATTATCAGGCCGGGGTCTACAGTACCTTGTATTTCTCCCAAGACGGGTCTTTGTTAAAGTTTGTCTAAAGCTTATTTTTTTGTTTGTTTTGAATAGGGTGGTATAGTGTTAGACCCCCTGTCATAATTAGGGTGGTATAGTGTTAGACCCCCTGTCATAATTAGGGTGGTATAGTGTTAGACCCCCCTGTCATATTTAGGGTGGTATAGTGTTAGACCCCCCCCTGTCATATGTAGGGTGGTATAGTGTTAAATCCTCTGTCTTATTTAGGGTGGTATAGTGTTAGACTCCCCTGTCATATTTAGGGTGGTACAGTGTTGGACCCTCTTTCATATTTAGGGTGGTGCAGTGTTGGACCCTCTGTCTTATTTAGGGTGGTATAGTGTTAAATCCTCTGTCTTATGAAGGGTGGTATAGTGTTAGACCCCCTGTCATATTAGGGTGGTACAGTGTTGGACCCTCTTTCATATTTAGGGTGGTGCAGTGTTGGACCCTCTGTCTTATTTAGGGTGGTATAGTGTTAAATCCTCTGTCTTATGAAGGGTGGTATAGTGTTAGACCCCCTGTCATATTTAGGGTGGTATAGCGTTAGACCCCCCTGTCATATGTAGGGTGGTATATCGTTAAATCCTCTTATTTAGGGTGGTATAGTGTTAGACCCCCTTGTCATATTTAGGGGGGTATAGTGTTGGACCCCCCTGTCATATTTAGGGTGGTATAGTGTTAGACCCCCCTGTCATATTTAGCGTGGTATAGTGTTTGACCCCCTGTCATATTTAGGGTGGTATAGGGTTAGACCCCCTGTCATATTTAGGGTGGTATAGGGTTTGAACCCCCTGTCATATTTAGGGTGGTATAGGGTTAGACCCCCTGTCATATTTAGGGTGGTATAGGGTTAGAACCCCCTGTCATATTTAGGGCGGTATAGTGTTAGACCCCTTGTCATATTTAGGGCGGTATAGTGTTAGACCCCCCCTGTCATATTTAGGGCGGTATAGTGTTAGACCCCCCCTGTCATATTTAGGGCGGTATAGTGTTAGACCCCCCTGTCATATTTAGGGTGGTATAGTGTTAGACCCCCTGTCATATTTAGGGTGGTATAGTGTTAGACCCCTCTGTCATATTTAGGGTATAGTGTTAGACCCCCCTGTCATATTTTTCTGCGATGTTTCTGCTTGAGAGATTCACCCTATCTTGGCCATTGTTACAGGAACTGTAGGTGAGGGTAATTTTTAGTTGTCACCAGAATCGGAATAGAGGGCGATCTTTCAGTGGGGACACTTGTTGCGGTGACAGATGTCTAAAGCTAGGTTCACAATTGTGTGTGTGTATTTTGAAGCGCTTCCATTGTCTGTGGGGCCAGAAATGTGCTGTACCAAAATGAGTACCTGCACCTTTTCCCAAGTAGCACAGAAGCGTGTTCCATGAACAAGGTCCATAGACAATAATGGGATTCCTCCTATTGTGCGTTGTCAAGTGACAGCCAAAGGACAACAAACTGCCCAGGTGTGAACAAGGACTTAGAAGATTCTCCTCACTTTGGAGAT